CACAGACCCATCGCCTCATCTTTCTTGATCTTACGAAGATGGAGGGTTTGACCGAATCTGTTGCGAAATCTCTGAAATTGTCATTGGAGGAGGAGGAAGGAATCCGGGTTGACGTAGAAAAAGTTGATACTAGTGCCTCAGATTGGGCATTCCAGTTGGCGGGGAGGATATTGTGTAATCGTGAGATTGCTGCTCATACGATTAAGGCAAATCTCTTCCGTTTACTACAACCTGTTAAGGAGTGCGACGTGACATCCCTGGGGCCAAACCGGTTTATTCTCCGCTTCGCTCATCGCCTTGACTACTCTCACGCCAAGTCAGGGTGCCCTTGGCACATGGACAAGAACGCAATCATCCTCAGTGATCTGACCTCAGAGGATAACCCGTTCTCGATGGAGTTGAATCATCTGCAAATCGTCGTCCGAGTGCACCAGCTACCAATATCTCACAGAGTTGAATCCGTGGTGAATTTAATCGGAAACAAGATAGGAGAGGTTATCGAGATTATCAACCCGAAGCAATTATATACGCAGCCTTTTGTTCGTGTCAAGGTCAGACTCAATGTCCAAAGGAGTTTGAAGCGGGGCATGAACGTTCACAACTCGAACGGGGCGAAAATTTGGGTTGCCTTTACATACGAGAGGCTGCCCAATTTCTGTTTCTTGTGTGGAATTTTGGGGCATGCTGAGGGACGTTGTCCGTTAAGGTATGCTGAGGATTTTCAAGAACCGAAAGAATTGCCATATGGAACGTGGATGAGGGCGAGTTTGAGCACAAAAGAAAATCAGGAAAATGGGCCGCTCCAACCCATCAACCCGAAACCGCCAGGAGCGATTACTCCCCTTCAGCCGAGGCGTAGAGGAGCTGACATCTTTCAGTTCTCAAGCTTGGTTGGAAACGAACATGGGGGGGAGGTTCAAGGAAAGGAGAATCTCATTGTCCCAATACTATTAGACGAGGCAGTGCTAGTAACAAACACGGTGCAAGTTCATAAGGAGGGCAACGGGGGTCTGGTTAAAAAGAAATACATGGCTAGTACGAGCAACAGTAAAAAGAAAAAAGCAGAAGAAGCAGGCCTAAAGGACTCGAACAAGACAGGGAAAAAACATCAACTTTTCTTGAGAGATGAGGAATACGATTCAACGGCGGAGACTGTGGAGCAGTCCCGCCGAAATCAATGAGTTGCATATTTTGGAATTGTCGAGGGCTGGGGGCGCCCTTGACAATTCAAGTCCTCGGGGATATTCTCCGAGATCATAGGCCCCTAATTGTGTTTCTTTCGGAAACAAAAGTTACACACCAAGTATTTGATCAACTGAAAAGGAAATGGAATCTAAATGGCATTGACGTGGCGAGAGTAGGATTGTCTGGGGGACTGGCGCTGTTCTGGAATAAAACGGTGGACGTCAATTTACTGAGTTTCTCGACCAACCATATTGATGTGAAGGTTAGTGGTACTAACCAGAATAGCAAATGGAGGGTTACGGGATTCTACGGATATCCGGAACATAACAAACGGTATCTTTCTTGGGAGCTTCTACGTAGCCTTAAGCATCGTAGTAATCTCCCATGGGTCATTGGTGGGGATTTTAACGAGGTTTTGAGTAACGATGAAAAGATTGGAGGGGTCGAGCGCTTACCTTCGGCCATTGAAGCGTTCCGGGAAGCTCTTGATGTTTGCGATCTTTCTGACATGGGTTTTGAGGGGTATCCATTTACATGGTCAAACAACAGGGAGGCGCCCAATACGGTGTTATCTCGCCTTGACCGTGTCTGTGCAGATTCAACTTGGGTGCTCTTATTCCCAAATTCTCGGGTTTTCCATTTGAATTATGAGGGCTCGGACCATTACCCGCTGAAGTTAAGTCTTTGTGAGAGTTGGGGTGCCAGAGGTGGTAAAAAGAAAAGACCTTTCCGTTTTGAAGCCACATGGGTTAGAAGGGACGAGTGCGAAGAAATTGTGCAGAGGAAATGGGATGCGAGTATTGGCACGGATCCCATTGGAAAAATGTTGCAATTCAACAACGAATGTAAGGTGGCTCTTATATGCTGGAAAAAGAACTCATTACAACTTCCAAAAAAGCAAATTGCATCTCTGCATAAAAAAATCCATGCTCTTTGTACGAGAGTGCAATCGGCGAGTGTTAGAGAAGAGATTAAAAAGTTGAGACACGAATTGGAAATGGCCTATGAAGACCAGGACTTGTACTGGAGACAACGGAGCAAAAATCAATGGATTCAGGAAGGGGATAGAAATACAAGTTTTTTCCATAGAAAGGCCACTATTAGGCAGCGGATTAATCAGGTTTCCCGGCTGAAGGACTTGAATGGAGTGTGGAAAGATAAAGAGGAAGACATTGGCCGGATTATTACTGAGAACTTTGAGCAACTCTTCACAAGTTCACATCCGAGTGAGACTGAGATAGATGAGGTTCTTGAGAACGTGGGTACGCGTGTGTCTAGTGCGGCTAGGGAGCTTCTCAATTTACCATTCACGGCAGATGAGGTAACTCGAGCCATCTCAAAAATGGCTCCACTTAAATCTCCTGGCCCTGATGGACTCCCTGTTATCTTTTATACCAAATATTGGCACATTCTCGGTTCTAGTGTTATCTCTTGTGTTCTTGAATTTTTAAACAAACATAATCTGCCTGCCCCTTTGAACTTCACTTATATTGTCCTCATCCCAAAAGTCAAAAAACCGGAAAAAATCTCAGAATATAGGCCGATTAGCCTTTGTAATGTGATCTACAAATTGGGATCCAAAGTATTGGCTAATCGTCTGAAACTTGTGCTTAATGATTTGATCTCTCCTTGTCAATCTGCATTTGTGCCAAAACGGTTAATAACTGATAATGTCCTTGTTGCTTACGAGATCAATCATTTTATTAAGTTGAATTCTAGGGTGAGAACTAATTTTATGGCTCTTAAACTTGATATTAGTAAGGCATACGATCGTATTGAATGGCCTTTTCTGATGACCATTCTTTCTCGTTTTGGTATTCCGGATCGGTTGGTGAACCTCATTATGTTGTGTATTTCTACAGTCTCATTCTCTTTTCTCTTCAATGGCTCGCAGTTTGGATCGGTGACTCCATCTCGAGGGTTAAGGCAGGGGGATCCCTTATCCCCTTATCTATTTATTTGTTGTGCGGAGGCGTTGTTCGCCCTCCTGGCTAGAGCTACAGAATCAGGGGAATTTAAGGGTGTTAAGGTCGCACCGGAGGCCCCGGAGATTGTAAATCTGAGTTTTGCTGACGATACTTTGATTTTTGGGGAAGCTTCTACCGATTATGCGAGAAAACTGAAGGAGATTTTAGACTTATATGCGAGGGTGTCGGGTCAACTTATTAACTACGACAAGTCTACTATTACCTTTTGTCCGATGACGCCTCAAGATAAGCGGGACGTGATTAGTCAGATCCTCGGGTTCCAAGTCGTGGAGAAACACGAGAAGTATCTCGGTTTGCCAGCAATGATGGGGCGCTCCAAGAAGGAAATATTTTCGTATTTACGTGATAGGGTTTGGGCGAAGATAAAAGGGTGGGGTGAAAAACAGTTGTCAAAGGCAGGAAAGGAAATTCTTATTAAATCCGTTCTTCAAGCGATCCCCTCGTACATCATGGGATGCTTCATGTTACCAAAGGGAATCATTTTAAGTGTGGAAGCGGCTATAAGGCGGTATTGGTGGGGATCGGAGGCTAGTAGAGGGGTGGCGTGGTTAGGTTGACGGGATCTGTGTCGGTCCAAAGCGCAAGGAGGTCTGGGGTTCCGGGATCTCCATCAGTTCAATGTTGCGATGCTTGTCAAACAGGCATGGCGAATTCTCACATGTCCGGATCTTCTTCTCTCGAGAGTGTTGAAAGCCAAATATTTTCCGAGCTCCAATATTCTTGAGGCAGCAGGAGGGTCCCGCCCATCAGCTACGTGGAAGAGTATATGCAATGTCTTGCCAGTTCTTAAGTTGGGTCTTCGACGTCGGATTGGAAATGGGCGGGAAACATCCATTTGGGCAGATGCATGGCTCCATGATGCTGGCTCCAATAAAATTATCACTCGCCGCCCCTCTCATACGGCGTTTCCAAATGTAGTGGCAGACCTTATTGATTTTGATACGCATTCCTGGAAATACAAGCTCCTCGCAGATACCTTTTGGAGAGTGGATGTGGACCGCATTGTCGATGTGCCGTTCGGAGGACCGGAGACAGGAGACCGTTGGGTTTGGAGATTTGCAAAGGATGGCCGCTTCTCTGTTCGGTCATGCTATCATGCATTATTTGATTTTCCGGAGAAACTAGGTTGGAAAGCGGTGGAGAATACGGGATCGAGTGGTAAGTGTGATCAAGATCGGTGGAAACGCATATGGAAACTTCGAATTCCACCCAAAATTAAAATTTTCGTTTGGCGACTTGCAAACAATATTATTCCTACAAATGAAATCCTATTCCGACGACGGATTGTGTCGTCACCGACCTGCCCAATTTGCCAGGGACCATGCGAATCTTCCATTCATATGATTCTTGATTGTTCATCCTCGTGGAAAATTTGGAGAGATACTCCATTCAAGGGATTGTACAATCTGAACCGTACCTCAATGTGGGATTGGTTGGATCAATTTCAGGAAAAAAACTCGATTGAGGTTTTTGAGCTAGCCATGGTCGTTATTTGGAAGCTTTGGGAGAACAGGAATAAGAGAATACATGGCGGAGACGTGGTGGCGGCGGAAGACATTGTGGCATGGAGTAAGCACTATATGTGGATTTTCAAGGCAGCAACTCTCCGACCAAGTGGTGTTATGGCAGCGGCGATCCACCCAACGGTATGGCTTCCTCCAGCGGCAAGCTTCATCAAAATAAACTTTGATGCTGGGTTTATCCAGAACCAGCGCTGCTTTACACTCGGAGTGGCTGCCCGGAATCACGATGGTACGTGCATGGGGTGGCGAGTGGCGAAATTTCCTGGTGGTCCGCGACCCATAGATGCAGAAGCCATGGCGGCAGTTATGGCTATCAAGATGGCGAAAGATCGAGGTTGGGAAGATGTCATTTTCGAAGGAGATTGTCTTCCAATTATCCAAGCTTTCAACATAGGAGAAGCGAAATACGTGTCTTTTGGAGCTATTATTGAAGACGGGATTAACACAGCTAAATGTTTTCATTCTTGTTTCTTTCAATTTGTGAAACGTTCGGGTAATTGTCTTGCCCATGCCATTGCGAAGCTTGATTGTACCGAATATTTGGAAGGAATTATTCTTCCCCCGGTATTGGCTAATGTAGCCTAATAATATGCTTCTGTTTCAAAAAAAAAAAAAAACTGTAGTATAGTTAATTTTACTATGTTTAACAGTAATATAGTTAATATTACTGTTAACCCCAACAATATTGATGTTTAAACGGTGGGAGGGAGATGTTAAAGAAATAAAATCAAAAAAATCAACGAGTTGGTCAACGGCGGAAACCGGCGGTGGAAAAATCAAGAAGAAAAAAAAGCCAACACCGAAAACCGGCGGAAAAATCAGGAAGAAGAAAATAATAAAAAATAGTCAACGCCAGAGACCGGCGGTGATAGACGAAATTGTCCATAAAAATGTGTTTTAGGTCAAAATTGAATAATTTATGATATTTGGGGTCAAATTGAGATTATATTAAATTAAATGATGAAATTGGAGCATATTAAAGTATGAGGGGATATTTTAGTTTTCTACAAACCTATGAACCATGTGTGGACTTTTTTGTAAAATAGTTTATTGTCTGGATCTCTTTATGAATAAGTACCCATTGATGGGCTTATTTTAAAGTGCAAAAAAAAAAAAACCCGAAAAGTCAACGCCGGAATCCGGCGGCAAAAAAATATTTTATAAAAAAAAGTAGTCAAAATTGGATGTTTGTGGTCAAAATTGATGAAATTGGGGTTACAATTAAGAATTGTGTATAAAGGTTTGGGGGTAATTTTGTCATATACATGAATTTTTTCTTTATTTATAATGAATATTAAAGAGATGAGTTTATTGATAATAGAGATATAACCTCTAAACCTACAATAATAAAGATATTTAGTTAGGGACTTCTACACAAAAACCCCAAATTTAAATATGCAATATTGGTAATAATTATCAATTCAGACAATAAACTACCTTCCTTTCCATATCTTTCATTTCGATATGATTTCTTTCTTTATTTAACCCATATAATATTTGACCTTTTGAAATTTCACTATTGTACCATTGACCAAATATCTAGTAAATACAATTTGATTATATGAGTTACAAATATTTACCTTTTATACTACAAGAATGTTCAAATCATGCCCCTCCTATGTTTCCAATTTGTAACACGATTATAATTTTAAGGAAAAAAAATTATAAAAGAAAAATCAAAAAATAATCCATGCAAATTGTCACCATATCACCATAATCTTCCACGTACTCAATTCTATATAAATGTACAATCAAAAGTTCTATTCCATCAAATAAAGGAAAAAAAAAAAAAAAAACCATGACTCGTTCCAATAATCAAATTTCTTACCTCTTTATATTGACAATAATTACTCTCATAATTAATAAATTGCCATTGGCTGAATCAGAAGCAACTCTGTACGAAATATTGATAGAAGATGAATTTGCACCTGGATCATTGCCCATGAACATTACATGCCAGGCTGGCGGAAAACTCATAGCCGCGGATTCGATCAGAACGGGAGAGACGATGAGGTTTAGTTACTATTTCGAAACTAGTCACGGCGCACCGTATAAAGTTAAGTGTATATTCGTAATCGGAATTAGGACAACGAGTTATGTAATGTTCGACTATTTTAGAGATGCGGTTGGGGGCCGATGTAAGGAGGAGGTTTGCAATTGGTCGGGTATGGAGGAAGGACTTTATTTGTATTATGACAATCTTTATCGCCTCATTTATCCATGGTGATATATATATATATATATATATATATATATATATATATATATATATATATATATATATATATGTATTGTGGAGAAAAAAATAAAAATAAAATTTGGCAATAAAGTTTGCAGTATTATGTTGATTATACAACTTTTCACATTTAGAGATGAAATAAAATCTAATTAATGATCTAATTCGCATTTTTGTGTTTTCTTATGAGGTAATCTAAGTTACAGTAGTCTCTCTGTCTCTTCCTTTTTTTTCCGATTTGATTGCGATAACCTAAAGTTTACGACTAATTGACGAATAGAGAGCAGTACAATGGTGGTGTCAAAATTTAATAACTCGGTGAGTTAAAAGTTTACGAGACTTTGGGACAACGCCCTCGATTTTTTAAGGGGTATTGACATACAATAGCACAAATTATGTAAAAGACATGATAAATTTCGGTTCAAACTATCAAATATTTAAGACATATCTAAAATATAATTATTGGACCTTTTTTAGAATATGTTTTTTTTTCCCTTTTATAAACATGGATTATAGGGCAAATTACGGCCATTCGCTTAGGTAAGGTCAAATTACGAAAAACACCATGTTGTTTGCATAATTGTAACCACTCATCAACTATGTATTGTCTTACACGTCCATTGTCACAATGTTAAATTTACCTAGGGATGTTCATTCGGCAGAAGAAACCGACCGAATCCAACCGAACAAAAATTCAGTACATGCCGATTACCGAGCCGATAATTCTGTATGAACTCCTCTAAATTACAATTTTACCAATTTTATCAAACTACAATTTACCGAATGAACTCCCCTAAATTTACTAACTTAAGGGATTTTTTCGTAAGATAATACATAGTTGATGGGGTGTCTATAAGGCTGGCAATCGGGCCATATGAGCCGAGTTTGGGTTGGCTCAAGCTCACATACCATCGGGCCTCGTTATTATATGCTCAAGCTCACATGTCATCGGGCCTCATTAGAATAGGCTCAAGCTCGGCTCATGTATTTTTTCGGGTTTCGGGTTTATATCGGGCCCCATTATTATATAATTGTAATGAGTAAATTTTTTTTTGTAAAAATAAGTGATGAACTAGATTTACCTCCATTGAAGCTAATAAAAAAAAAACCCTAAACGATCATTGAAAGTTATTGGAAAAACTTGAAAATAAAACCGAAAGAAGTAAAAAAAAAGATTAGTAACTCTTATTATTGGAAACATTTTATATTCTCAAATCTCGGTGAGATGTTGCATTTGATTCATATTTAACTTATTGCCACCGTCACTACTTAATTCCTTTTATTTTAAAAATTTTCTTCGCAAAATCAAATAATCTTATTCGATCATAACTTGTATGTTGAGTCATAGTATTAAAATAATAAGTATATTACATATTTTATTACTATCCTAATCGGTCGTGCCTTATTCGGGTTGAGCCATAGTAGGCTCAAACTCGGCTCATAAATAAATCGGGTTTAGTAAAATGGCTCAAACTCGCCCCGGCTCACTAAAAAGTAGGCTCGGCTCAAATATAATCGGGCCGAGCCATCGGGCTTCGGTTAGGCCCGGCTCAATTGTCGGTCCTAGGTGTCTGTAATTATGCAAACATGAGGGGAAAAAAAAATTGTTTTATAATTTGACCTTACCTCGAGTGGCCGTAATTTGTATAAAAAAAGAAAAAAAAAAAAAATTGCATATTCGTGCAGCTCACGTGATCGATCAGTCCACCTGGCAGGCAGCCAGATCAAAACCCGCATTTGATGCATTTCAAGTTACATTTGATCATCGTAATTCACAATCACCAAATTGGGAGTTGGGAACTATTCCAAATAAATTTTTACTTTATTCCGATTTTGCAATTCAATTTTCACTGCCGAATATTATAATACAATTTCTCGTCGGATCCAACCCCATTCCGCCGGAGAGATAGAGATACAGAGAGAGAGAGGAGAGAGAGTAAAGTGTGATTATGGTGAATAAGCGCGTCCCTGATTGGCTCAACAGCTCCCTCTGGTCCTCTCCCCAACCGCCCCCTTCTCCGCCGCCGCCGTCGCCGCCGCCGCTCAGCGCCGTCGCGATTTCCGACCCTCCGCTTCTGATCCCCCCGCCGCCGGCCATCGCCAGGCCGTCCGAGCCTCCTCCTTCCTCCACCTCCTCCTCGCCGTACGCTCACGCTCCGAAAGGGGAAAATAGGGATCCGTTGACTAGTAGTTATGCGAACAATACTAGCGTTTATTGCACTGATGACGATGAAGACGACGGCTCACCATCATACTCTGCGCCCTCTAACGGCGGTGATTCAGGTGCGGCGGCGCCGCCTCCTCCAGCTGCTCAGGATGTTTCTAGGCAGGCGCAGATTTTACAAGAGGTTTTTGATGCTGGCATTATCAATTTCCTTTTTTTTTTTTTTTTTTCTATTTTCGGAAGATTTTGCCAAATTTACTTTCAATTTTTATTTTGATTAGGTATAGAGTTTAGAGAGAACAATTTAGGCCTCACTAATACTTGCTCTTCAGTATTTGATGCTATTTTACTCCTAATACATTTTATTTAGCTTTGTGGTTGTTATTTTTAGTTGTTTTGTTTATTTATTTATGTTTTTTTTGGTAAATGTAGCTGTCAAGGAAGGTTATAAATATGGTAGAATTGCGGAAGTTAGCATCACAAGGCTTACCCGATGGAGCTGGTATTCGTGCAACGGTCTGGAAGGTAAGAAACGTGACTTTAACTATGATCTGGTCTTCGTGCACATTCGGTGTACCGATTATGATTTTTATCTTTAGTTTTCTTTTTCATGTTTGCAGTTAATATTTCCATTGCAAATTGGTGATTCCCAAGAAGATTTTGTGTGTGGTCCTTGAACATTACATTCATTAGTTAAAATCTGCTGGAATTGATTCTAATCTTTAATTCATATTTGTTAGAAATTCATAGTGGTGAACTTAATCCCATTCAATCTTTGTTGATTAATTTCATAAGATAATTTATTCTGGATTAAGATTTCCATGTTGCCACTTTGCAGCTCTTATTGGGATATCTACCAACTGATCGCTTTCTTTGGCCTTCAGAATTGGCCAAGAAAAGGTCTCAGTATAAGCAGTTCAAAGAGGAGCTACTGATGAATCCTGTAAGTTCTTGAATATTTTCTTGCATTATCTCATGGGTGTTGAGATAGTTTGCACGAGGCTTTTAAGTGTATAAGTGAAAACTGGTAACTAAATAGAACTTCAGAAATTTCGGTCTGTTGAGAGGAATGTTGCCACAATATAGTCAAACATCTGTAGTATTTGCCGCTTAAAATTTAGATTTTTGCTGCTTAGTTTGTTGGACATTTTAATGTATAACCAGATAAATTTCTTGAAAACCACAGACAAATCACGAATTAACAATTTGTACTTGGCCGCCTCCTTTTTATATATGTGTGTGTGTGTGTGTGTGTGTGTGTGTGTGTGTGTGTGTGATGATCTGATTCTTAATTTTCCACCAATGTTTTCAATTTAATTTTTATTTGTATCGGTCTGACAAAATCCCTTCATGAGGTTGAGCTGGGTGAATTGTTGAATTAATGTTGAGATTGATTCCTTGCAGAAAAATAACAATAATGAAACATTAAGCAGGAATTTTTTTTCTCTAATTGACAGTCCTCTTATTTAACGAGTTTACCAGATCTTTTACATCCGGAAACGTTAAACATATTATGCTTTTCACCAACTACAGCCAATCTCATGTTTAATGCTGTTACCCTTCTGCAACAGAATCTACATTTTGTTGGTTTTACCAGCTCACAATATTAATATACGATGTAGTATCTAGATACATATGAGCAGAAAACTTGGTAGAAAAATGGGTTACTGCTTGAGAAAAAATCAATAATTTGTGGACGTTGAATTCTTGCTTTGTAAGTGCACTGATTCCACCACATATCTTCAGTCTTTCGCCATTTGCTAAATGTTTCCATGGCTAGTCAGTCAGAGATTACGAGGAGGATGGAAAAGTCAAGTCTCGAGAATCATGAACTCGAGGCTGGCAGTCCAGGTTTCATGTCAAGGTCAGAGATAAGTCATGGAGAGCATCCGTTAAGTCTTGGGAAGAGTAGCGTATGGAATCAGTTCTTCCAGGTACGTTTCCCTTATAACACTATGTAGCATGTATTGCAGTTATATGGAATACATCATATTAAAACAAGCACTAAAACTCATTATAACTCCAATATATTTATTACTTTTAGGAAACTGAGATTAAAGAACAGATTGACAGAGATGTCATGCGCACTCATCCAGACATACACTTCTTTTCTGGGGACTCGACTTTTGCTAAATCCAATCAAGTGAGCGTAGTTTCTTTTTCCTTTTTTTTTTTTCTGGCTTTCATACTTGTAGTAACTACGTACTTACATATTTATTTATCTATGATATACGTCTTTCTTCAGGAGGCTTTGAAAAACATATTGAATTTATTTGCAAAACTGAATCCGGGAATAAGATATGTACAAGGGATGAATGAACTATTGGCACCCTTATTTTACATGTTCAAGAATGACCCAGATGAAGAAAATGCGGTAAGCTTTCTTTACTGTTCTTTGATTTTTTTTTTAATTGCTAATCAAATGAAGTAATTTAGTTACATAAATGATTAAAAAATTAAAGTTGTCAATTTTTACTCCAGAGCGGTTATTCATATTCAGAAACTTATTTACTATGTCTGATAAAATTTATTCTCCATTTTCTTTTTATTTTTTGAAGTCCATGGCATTACTATATTTCTTTTAATTTTCACTAATAAGGAAATCTATTCTGTGTATATATCAAATGATCGACTTCCCATAATCCACTCATCCCTCCGCCCCCCAAAATAATAATGCTTATGAAGAAGAAAAGCCAAAAAGGTCTCTGAAACTGTCAGTCCCTACCTACAGACATACATAATTTCCTTATGCGAATCATATAACGTCCTCACTGAACTGTCTTCAGATCTTCATTCTATATCTCGTTTCTAAAAAGCAAGGTAACTCTTATTGCCATTTTTGGGATTAAGGGTGCTTGCTTCCCTTGGCTGAACTCGCTACTGACGTACCTTTCTGAATTTTCAGTTAAACTACTATAGAGAATACACTAGACGGGAACTGATAATGAGAATGTTAGTCCTTTGTTTGTTTTTGGTTTCTTTTCATTTCCAGCACCTCTAGTGTTTTTGAGATGACATGATACATTCAAACAACGAATTCTTCAAAACTCATTTTTTTTCCCTTCCCGAAATATTGGATCAATTGATATATATATATATATTTGTATATATCCTTATACATATTCAGATTATGTTGCATAGAAAGATGTAGTATATCTACATCATGCTATGAATATATTGATCTAAAATTAATGCGTTTAATACAACATAATGACGTAGCACAGTTAATGAGGCAAAATATGGCAAGACGTGACATCTATATAGTTGAAACAATCTCCTTAAGAAACTAACATAAACTAAATCAACATAAATGAAGCCTATGATGTTTTTTTTCCTTCTCTGGTATCTGCTTGCATTTCAGGGATTGGTTGTAATGAGAAAGTTTGAGCCGTGAGTTTGTAAAAACACTTAGCATACTCACTGCTTATCCCAAAAATAAGAACAAATGCATACAGAAATTTGTTGACGATAAAAAATAGTCTAAGAGTTGTCAACGATGAAGAGAAAATTTGATCGTTGCCTTCCGCAAAGGAGGGCCATTGGAATATTTGAGTACCTTTCACTTTGATAGGAGCAAAGAGAGAGGGAAAGAGTGAAGGACAAGAGGAAACGATATATTCAAAATGAAACACGATGAAAGAATTTTTCTAAACTTTTCCACAGGATCCCATTGTGCTAGTAATTTGTATTTTATTAGGAGAAAAGAGGGATTCGAAAGAGTGAATTATGATAAGAGAAGAAATACTGAAAATGAGAACGGTCAAATATGATGACAGAATCGGGTTGTTGCCTTTCCGATAGAAACTCCTACAGATCCTGTAAAAGAATCTATAAATCTTTTGTGAAACTTTTCCTGTAAATATCAAAGGTGCGTCATAATTGTTGAACTTCGATGGACTTCATATTTCACACGGTAGGTTTTACACAAAATGATACCCAAAACAGTGTATGTAATCCTTAAACAAGGGCGACTTCATCTCGAACGGTGGCCAACAGTTTGCCTAACCTTTGAACATGGTTGTTGAAATGTAGATTGACCAACTTTTAGAGGAGTGTAAGGTAATTTCAGAACATGAAGTATGTGAATCATACACGTTGTTTGCTTAGTTGCAAGAAATTTTATAAAGATGAAGGCGCTGAAACGTGTATGATCCACTAACTTTGATATATTATATTACACAAGTTAGGAAGAAACGGTTTTGTTGTGGTAATGTTTTCTTTATTTAATGCTCTGTATAATGTTTTCTTGGATTCAAATATCCTATATAATAACATATTGCTTTGTACGTTTCATTTTTAGTTACTATATCCTTTTGCAATCCTGCAGGCTTCTGCTGAAGCAGACACTTTCTTCTGTTTTGTGGAGTTAATGAGTGGGTTTCGGGACAACTTTGTTCAACAGCTTGATAACAGTGTAGTTGGCATCCGTGCCACCATTTCGAGATTGTCACACCTTCTAAAGGAACACGATGAAGAACTATGGCGTCATCTTGAGATGACAACAAAAGTAAGATTCTATACATCCATCCTACTTCACCGAAACCTTGTTGTTGTGTTCAATCTATTTGGAAAGTTCAAGAGTGTAACTTTTCCATTGATGGGAACATAGACACACCAACTTTATCTTATTTACTACATGTCGTACTGTGGTTGAGGAAAAAGGAAAAAAAAAACAATTTGAGGACACTGAGGAAGATGAACATTATCATGCATCTGAAAATATTGATTACGATTGAGACAAAAATAGCGACTATGTTGACGTTTAGTTTCATGCAATTAGGACTCAATTTGTTTTTCTTTTATTCAGAAATGTGCTTGTCGTCAGTCCTCGTAATTACCTTTACTTTTTTTTTATGTTTCCGAAATTGCTTCTATTCTCAATGTATATTGAATACATGCATTTTTGTGTGCGCTTAAAAGGCCTGGCACTCTCTTATGTGATGGAATAAGAGTCATAACTAGGAAATAATTCTCCAAAATATAGACAATCGTCGCAAACTACTAAAACATATACAGATTCCTAACGTAAGATAGACTTCTAAATATCTTCCGACACTTTTGAATCGTTTATCTGTGTTGTAGATGCTTGAACATGTTCGTTTTCCTTACATGGTCGTGGCTATATGTGCAGGTCAATCCCCAGTTTTATGCATTCAGGTGGATTACACTCCTTTTGACCCAAGAATTCAATTTTGCCGACAGTCTCTTCATCTGGGACACACTTCTGAGTGACCCCGATGGTCCTCAAGTGAGTCGATCTTCCTATCGTGTTATTTTGATTTCTTATTTTCTCTGTCTACTGTCTTAATATGTTAATTGACAAATTATTTTCTCGACTTCATTCGATGAACCAACCAATTTGCAGGAAACACTGCTCCGAGTTTGCTGTGCAATGCTGGTTATTGTGCGGAAGCGTTTACTAGCGGGTGATTTCACTTCCAATCTTAAGTTGCTGCAGAACTATCCTTCCACAAACATCAGCCATATTCTTTACGTTGCAAACAAGTTGCGGGCTCACTGAGTAGGCCGATACTTTGTTTTTTCTTATTCGATAAAATACTTTTAAAAGTTGTATTTACGTACTTTTTGCCTGGTTCGTTTTGAGAATCTATTGCTTGTAAAATTGCAGGATGTAAATGTAACTTGATAGTGACATCTAGGAATTGTTATTTTCGGTTAGACTTTCAACCCTTTGTCTTCGTGTAACTTACACTTCAACTCCAAAAAAAAAAAAAGAATTAAAAGGGAAAATTCTGAGAGATGTATCAATACGAGTTCATGTAAAATTTTATAAGCTCGAGCTGAACTCATCGAGCCTACTTTTTTTGATCTTGAGCTTTTGAATACTCGAAAATGATTAATTTTTGAATTTGATGGATCATTATTATTTACCCACAAACCATAATTTTGAAGTCAAGAATAGGTAACCAAAATTCATTCACCGCAGTTTCTTATTCCGCTACCACCATAGAGCCCCGTTTTCATTTCTCTTCATAACTTTGTTCACCACAATATCTTGCACAACGAACTCTCAGTCAAATGTCCAAATAGATTAATTTATATTTTCGGCACAACTTTCTTAACAATTTCCAGAAGAACATTTTTCTTGGATACTTGCAGGTGATTAATCAACATGAAGGAGGTCGCTGCATCCGCAAAGAATCCCTTTTCGCACATGTCCTCTAAGAATGGGATTGCCTTGTAAATTGCATTCCTCTTTAGCAAACCTTGGATAATGTGGTTGTATGTCTCGCTATCCGGTACACAACCACTTCTCTCCATGATTATAAGCAAACGTTTCGCCTCCTCTATCGATCCTTCTCGACAAAGCGAACCAATAAAAACATCATATATTTTTTTATCAGGTTGCAAACCTTTGGAAGGAAGTTCTTTTAAAATATTCTTTGCATCTTCAACTTTCCCATCTTTACACAAACCATTAACGAGGATACCATACGTGACTATATCAGGAATTACCCCTTTACCCTCCATCGTACGTAGAAACGAAAACGCTTCAGCCATTTTTGAGTCCTGCACAAGCTATCCAACAAAATATTGTAAGTAAATAAATCAGGATGTACTTGCCGAGCTTCCATATCCTTAAACAACTTCCATCCATCGCCAATTTTTCCGTTACTTAATAATCCATGTATCATGAGGTTATAGTTAATTGCCGTGTGCTCTAAACCTATAGAAGAAACTTCGAGAAAAAGACGCAAAGCTTCATCGACTTCTCCCTTCTTGCAATACCCGTTGATTAAAGTGCCGTAGGTGACGACAGATGGCTTAAGGCCCTTGCCCACGATACAATCAAATACATCTTTTGCTTTATCCATATTCCCTTGCAAACAGTACCCGTCCATCAATGCAGTGTAAGTGAAAATATCAGGATCGACATTTTGTTGCTTCATAATTACCAAAACATCCTCTGCTTCTTTAACATTTCCTTCCTTGGCAAATGCGTCCACCAATATATTAAAAGTAAAAACAGTAAAGGATATCTTGTGATCAACCATTTCATCTAACAAGTCTTTCACCTCTTTCCATCTACCGAGATTGCACAAGCCTTGAATCATCGAGCAATACGTGACAGCATCGGGCGAAATGCCCTTGTCGATCATTTTATATAGGAGTTGGTGAGCATTATCAACCATTCCACCCTTGCATAAGCCATCAATTACCGTGTTATAAGCTCTAACATTGGGTTTGTAGATAGTTTTCTCTAATAACCGAAGTAAATCATAGGCAGTAAGAATGTTTCCAGCTTTGCAGAGCCCATTTAACACAGTAAGAATCGTAAAACCATTGGGCTCACAAAGTTTCAGAGTCAGACACTTCTTGAACAATTTTTCTGCCTCGGCCACTTTATCGACTAAAAAGAACCCTTTTAAGAGAGTGTTGAATGTCGTAACATCTCCTGTGTAACCGTGTTTAAAGAAGCAGCCGAAGATAGCAAAACCAACGTCAACCCTTTTCAAAAGGCAACAAAAATTAATCAAGATGTTCATCGTAACATCATTGGGCTCACAAAGTTTGAAATTCAAACACTTCTTGAACAATTTTTCTGCCTCGGACACCTTACCATCTAAAAAGAGTCCCTTTAAGAGAGTGTTGAATGTCGTAACATCCCCCGTGTAGCCGTGTTTAAAGAAGCAGCCGAAGATAGCAAAACCAACGTCTATTCTTTTCAAAAGGCAACAACAATTAATCAAGATGTTCATCGTGTACTCATTTACAGGGGCACCCCATTGACGCATTTCGTCGAACAGTTGAAGAGCAACAGAGTATTGCTTCATCTTGAAAACAGCTTGCAATAGTTTGGTGAATTCGAAGACAGGAGGCTGCGGCCGCATTCTTACCATTTGACGAAACAAGAAAAGGGAATCATCTGCTTCTTTAATACAGCTCAAATCGATTCTGGGATTGGGTGAAAAGGGCATATCTTTTTCACCGAAACTATGAAAATTTGAACGGAAGAGAGAAAATGGATCGGCAAAAATAGCGTGATCATAAGAAGATTTAGCAGAAATTGCTCTACGACTAAGCGCTATTACAGATCCCTTCATCTTCTTCAGAGATTGTGTGAACAGAAGTTGTACAGTAAAAGAAAGAAAAGGCGGCAGCGTTTGGTATTTATATGTGCTTAAAAACAAACAAAAATGAAAAACGAACATTACAACTTCCAGAAAAGTATTTTTTTCATTGTTAAATAATAGGGTAAATTACACCCACACCCCTGAGGTATGCTTAAATAACTTTAAGGTCCCTGTGGTATCGATAATTATACTCACCCCCTTGAAACGTAGTTATAAACTCTAATGGGATAATGCATTTGATACGTTATTACGATAGAGTTCTAACGGACTATTGGTTTCAAGAAGTGGTGGAGACAACAAAGAGTTATGGGTGATTTAAGAAATATTGGGGGAGCCATGTCGCCCCATAACTCCCGATAACTCTATGTTATCTCCCTCCACCACTAGTTAAAAGTAATAGTTCATTAGAACCCTATCGGAATAATGTATCCAATGCATTATCTCGTTAGAGTTTCTAACTACGTTTCAGGGGGTGAGTGTAATTATCGATATCATCGGGACCTTCAAATTATTAAGCATACCTCCAGGGGTGTGGGTGTAATT